CACTTGGTCTGCAGAATTTGAAGCTTAATCAGCTTAATCTCTCGAATAACATGTTATCTGGCGAGTTACCGCCTCTGTTCGATAAAGACATGTACAAGAACAGCTTCTTGGGGAACTTTGGTTTGTGTGGGAATGTTAGTGTTTCATGTGCTAGGAGGGATGAAGATAAGCAGAAAGGCTATGTTTGGTTGCTTAGATCCATTTTTGTTCTAGCTGCATTGGTGTTTATTGTTGGTGTGGTTTGGTTTTACTTGAAGTACATGAACTACAAGAAAGCTAAGGCTATCGATAAATCGAAGTGGACATTGATGTCGTTCCACAAACTGGGTTTTAGTGAATATGAGATATTGGATTGTCTTGATGAGGATAATGTGATTGGGAAAGGTGCTTCTGGGAAAGTATACAAGGTCGTGCTTAGTAATGGCGACGCAGTTGCTGTTAAGAAGCTTTGGGGAGGTGTGAAAAAGGGTTGTGACAGTGTCGATCTCGAGAAAGGTCAGGCTCAAGCTGATCTCCGGTTCAGGACGATGGGTTCCAAGCTGAGGTTGAGACATTGGGGAAGATTAGACACAAGAACATTGTTAAGTTATGGTGTTCTTGTACTACTCGCGATTGCAAGCTTTTGGTGTACGAGTACATGCCGAATGGTAGCTTGGGAGATTTGTTGCATAGCTGCAAAAGTGGTTTGCTCGATTGGCCAACGAGATACAAGATTATCGTGGATGCAGCCGAGGGGCTTTCATATTTGCATCATGATTGTGTGCCTCCGATCGTACATAGAGATGTCAAGTCCAATAATATCTTATTGGACGGAGATTTTGGCGCTAGAGTGGCGGATTTCGGAGTCGCGAAGGTGGTTGATGCAGCCGGAAAGGTCGCTAAGTCTATGTCTGTCATTGCTGGATCATGTGGCTACATTGCTCCAGGTTTGTTCATAACCTTATTATCGGTCTAGCGATCAAATGTATTAGTCATGTTAATCTTTACAAAATCTAATCTGTCTATGAAAACTTCTGGTGCAGAGTATGCATATACTCTTCGGGTGAACGAGAAGAGTGACATATACAGTTTTGGAGTAGTGATACTCGAGTTGGTCACAGGAAGACTCCCGATCGACCCCGAGTTTGGCGAGAAGGACCTCGTAAAGTGGGTCTGCACCACTTTGGATCAGAAAGGAGTGGACTATGTTCTCGATTCCAAACTCGATTCATGTTTCAAAGAAGATATATACAAGGTACTCAACATCGGCCTCCTCTGCACAAGTCCACTCCCGATCAACCGCCCATCAATGAGAAGGGTGGTCAAGATGCTGCAAGAAGCCAGTGCCGATAACCAGCCGAAAGGTACTAAAAAGGATGGGAAATTGACTCATTATTACTACGAAGACGCCTCGGATCAAGGAATCGTAGCTTGAGATAACTTGTTGCTGAAACAAGACCACAAACTGCAACACACCCCCTAATAGTTTTTGATCTCAAAGGGAGCAGGGGACGAAATGTTCATAGAGAGAAAATGGAGAGACAGATTCATTAAGGAGTTAAATGCATACTGTAAAATCTCAGGTTCGAGTCTCGATTCGAATCAATGGCTAATTACTACTAGTTTGGTAAGGTTGGTTCCCCAAGGGCCATAAACAATTAACTCATCCATCCATCAATTTGGAAAGTGAGAGAGGACAAGAACCATAGATCCAGACCATTGCCTTAAAAGAGTTGTTTCTATGCTGTCATTTTCCATTGGTTGTTTTTGTTAATCGTTTTTACATGTCCATATTTATGGCTGCCATAAAGCATTTCCCAGGATTTGAATGTTTACTGCAAACATTAAAACCAGCACTTCCACTTCACTTTCGGCAATTTAACTTACACTAGAAACAGGTAACCAAAAATTCCCAACATAATGGGCGTACATACACTAATAGTACACTTGGCTTTCTTGTTTTGTTTCGAAGTTTTGCTTTCAAACATGATTTAGATAGCTCCGCATGTTCTCTTGTCTTCGAACAAACTGCTGGATATGATAGAAAATTTGGGTCTTTTTAGTTGGGGAGATACTCGGGATGTTATGATAGGTAAATGAATAAATAAATTTTAGGGAATTAAAATAAATTATCAATAAAAATATAAAAATATATCTAAATTATATGAAAAATTAAAAATTTTAAAAGAAACAATTGTCCATGGGTAAATAAAACCCTAGAGTGGGTTGGTTTTAGTAGTTGTGATGAGGGCACGAGTGGCTTAAGCTAAGGGTGTATTTGGTTCACGGAATGTAAGATTACTAGTGCGAATAAAAGATTATCAGGGAATATGATTACTGAGAATATTATATTTAGTGTTTTGGTTGGTTTAGCAGGAATGTAAGATTACCGTGTTTTTGTTAAATGAATAAAAGATTATTGGAATGTATATTTGACCAAATTATCTTTATTATATATTTGTTTTTTAACAAGTTGGAAAATATTTATATATTTTCTTTAAAAAAAATTAAATTCATAAAATTTATATCATTTTTTTTACAAAATTGAAAATATAAAAATGTTTAATGAAAGGGTAAAATTTTATTTTAACCCCTGAACTTCATATAAATTTTTTATTATAAATTTTATTTGTAAATCTAAAATAGTTTAAGGATAAATTTATAATTTAACCTTTGTAGAATTTTTATTATTCAATGACATAGTAAGGATATTTTTTTTAAAAAAAAAAATTAAGAGCATTTTAGTCCAAAACGCCGGTAATCCAACAATACATAAGGAAATGGAGGTAATGACATTCCCGGTAATATATAAAAAAAATCCACTATTGGTAATGTAAGATTACCGGGAATGACATTCCCGACCAACCAAACGGGGGAATGTGGATTTCATTCCCGGGAATCTCATTCCTGATAATGCTTTATTACCAATAGTAGATTTTTGGGTATATTACCGGGAATGTCATTACCTCCCTTTCCTTAGGTATTGTTGGATTACCAGCGTTTTGGACTAAAATTCCCTTAAATTTTTTTCCTTTAAAAAATATCCTTATTATGACATTTAATAATAAAAATTCTACGAAGGTTAATTACAAATTTATCCTTAAACTATTTTAGATTTACAAAAAAAAATCTATAATTAAAATTTTATATGAAATTTACCCTTTCATTAAACCTTTTTATATTTTCAATTTTATAAAAAATATATATATATAAATTTTATGAATTTAATTTTTTTAAAGAAAATATATAAATATTTTACAACTTTTTTAAAAAAACAAATATATAATAAGGACAATTTGATCAAATATAACAACAACGAAATCATATTCCCATATGCAAAGCGGTAAGTGGGAGGTAGGGTAGTAGGCTACCCCCAACGCCAGGTTAAGAGTAGTTTCCGTGGAAGACCTGCGGCAATCATAAAAATTATAAATAAAAATAAAATATAATACATGTATAAATAAATAAATAAATACATAGTTGACCGTTTTTTTAATAAGCAGTCTTCTTATGCGCGTCTGTAATGAGAAGTAATCACTGCATAAAAATCTCTGCAATATAGACAGAAACGTAAAATTCGACTAAATTTAAAAAGAGGAAACATGAAGAGATTTTACATTCCCACTAGTAGTTTTACATTCCTGCTAAGCCAACCAAACACAAAATATAATATTCTCACTAATTATATTCCCTGATAATCTTACATTCTCACTAGTAATCTTATATTCCGTGAACCAAACGTACCATAAAGAGTATGAAATTAAGCTCACTACGGAAACACATTGAATGCAGCAAGGGAGGGACCATAATAGTTTGAATGAAGTGTCAAAATCTATGGAAAAATTGTCATCTTCCCCCTTCCTTTTATTCTTTTTGACATTTAACCTTTCATCCTGAATAAATTGCACCATATATCCCCAAACTATAACATTTATTTTAAATTGGTCCTCAAACTTTTGCATATTTCAATTTCATCTCCAAACTATGACTCTCATTCTAAACTAGTCCTTAAACTTTTGAACATTCTAATTTCATCCCTAAATTATGACCCTCTTTCTAAATTGGTTCCCCAACCTTTTGAATATTTTAATTTTATCCCCAAATTCATCCAAATATGTAACTCATTTCAAACATAATTTAACCTAACAATTTTATTAACAATGGATGTGATTAGTATATACATATACTTGAAATTGGAATTTTCAAAAAGTTTGGGGACCAATTTAGAATGAAAGACATAGTTTGTGATGAAATTGAAATGTTTAAAAGTTTGAGGATTAATTTAAAATGATAGTGATAGTTTAAGGAAAAATTGAAATATTTAAAAATTTAAGGATTAATTTAAAATGAAGGTCATATTTTGAGGATCTGTGATACAATTAACTCTTTCATCTTCTTATAGTGCTCTTTAATTATGATAATTTTAGTCCAATAACATAATACACAAATAATTGAGAAAGTCAATAAATAACAACATTTATAATTATTTTAGCTTATATGTCTCGTAATTTATATTTATCAAAATAAATTTGTCAAATCTATCAATTATTTTTATAGATAATTTTTGTCATTTCACTTATTTTATATGACCTAACATGTGGTTAAATTTATCTCTTAAAACTATGTACTTATTATTATTATTATTATTATTTATTTTTTTTACGTTTGTCTGTGGTACTTATTACGAACGATTCTAAAATTTTATAACATATTAATAATTTCTTAAAATCAATTTAAAACCATTATAGATACTTAAATTTTAAATGTGTATTATAAATCAATTTATTTGAACATACAAAAATTATTATTAATTTCAATAATTTATTTTTATACATTCAACGTAAAATTTACACTATAATAACAAACTTACGTTATGATTAATCTTTTTATCTTTCAACTACCTGGTTCTCTTTCTTGCATGCAAACCAAATCAAACATAATTAGAATTAGTATAATAACACGAACAGACATCCCTTTCTTTGTTTGGTAATGAAACTCACAGACAAACTGGAAGCCATAGTTTAAATAATTGAAGCACTCAATTCATCCAAAGCTCCAACAGAGAGTACCCTTGCAATGGAATCTAGCACCTCTCTTACATTGGAATCAATGGTTGGGGTAAGAGGATCAGTTCCTTCAATAATGGTGTTCTGTGTTACCATATCAGAGTTTCTTCCTCGTACTTGTTGACTGAGTTTGCCTTTATGGCTAACTCGGCATAGAACCCAATCTTCCAACTAAAACAAGATGATTACACTTAGAGCTTAAAGTTAAGAAACTGATGAAACTGCTCTTATATGTAAGTGTGTTGAACCGATGAGGAAGAAAGTAACTTACTTCCATGGATCCTTTAGGCCTATGAGATACAAAGTAATCATCGACAAGTCTATATTCAGTCATCATCCAATCCGTTTTTACACCTTTCGTGGGACGCCCTTTGTAAAACACAAGAGCTTTCTTCATTCCTAGACATTGTGGTCTCGATCCAACACCAACAGAGGTGATGATCGGTTTATCAGTCCCGCTGGATTTCCAGAAACCGGACGCCGCCGCTCGATTCGGACGTGTTCCGTTAGGATACTTTCTTTCTCTCGGACTGAAGAAAAACCATTCGTTCTCCCCGAAACAGGCCTTATCTGTAAAACATTAGACAAAGTATACGTAGACGCCATGAATGTACGTAAGATATCAATACATTTTATATCAGATGACAAGCAAAGGAGTACTACCGGGAAGTTCCCATGGATCGAACTTGTAGATATTGACATCAGCAATAATGGAGATTAGCTGATGATTCGAGGAAGGTGAAACCTTCGGCTTTAGATAATGATTGATGAGCTCTTCATCTGTAGGATGGAATCTGAAGCCTAGTGGGAGGTCCATTTCGTGGGACAGTGGGGGAAGCTGTTTCGAATGATTTGCTTGATATTTATACTAGAATTTGTACATTTTGTGGTGAATAAAACCAAAATTATAAATTTATAACTTGGTGCTGATCTTGGAGAAACCACCACATATAATAATCATGAATAAATAATATTTCTTGGTCAAGCTATTTGCATTATAAATTTTTCGAATGGGATCAAGAAAATAATATCTTTATTTGTAGGTAAGTATATACCATGTATAGCAGATGCCAGTGAATACCCTCTAGAATTACGTCTAGCAATGAGAGCTAATTATATCTGTTCTGAAAGAAAATAAGGGATTCCTTGCAGAATAGCTATGCATGTGAATTCATGCTGCATGGCATATTGCATCAATTATGTTATAGTACTCTTGAATAATTGGATGTTACGTCAGCATACATACATGCATGCATGCTGCATGGCATGTTGCATCAATTATGTTATACTCCTGAATCATTGGATGTTATGTCAGCATCCATGCATGCATGTATGGCGTTTACAAGTTGACCATATATTTCCCTTAGCCGTATGGAAAATATCAGATACAGTTTAGGGAAATCAAATCTAGACAAAGTTGTAGTATCACATTTCACCATAGTTCAGTAAAAAAAATTAATATGCAACTTCATGGAAGGGAGAGAAAAAAAAAAGACAAATATGACCAATGGAGCCAATGGCAGATGCTAGCATATGTTAGGGTGGTCACGTGTTTACCTTAAAATTCTAATTTATTTTAATTAATGATTTGTTTTATTTATTATATCTACCTTAAAATTTTGTTTATACTTATCCCATATAAAAATTGTGTGCGATATATATATATATATTTTTTCTATTATAAAAAGTATTTTAAATCAGTCATTAAATAAAGCTAATTAATCCAAGATAATTAAGAACTTTAAGAAAATAAACTCTGTATTTATCAAGTATCTCGAACCCTAGGGCTTGGCTTAGTGGTCAAAAGTTTTTACCTCAGTCCACGTAGTGGATTCGAATCACAAAAACTTTCCACTTAAGGTGAACTGCAGTGTAATGTGGGAGTGTGATGATTATATTATTTTCTTAGAGATATTCATTCATATTCGATCGAATTGATATAAATAAATAAATTAATAAATTCTATTTTAATTATTTAGATTTTTTTAAAAAAATAATTTAAATCAAATATATTTATTTGAATTAAATAAATAAATAAATAAATAAATCAATCAAATTAAATATTTATTGATAATTTGAATAAAGTTCAAGTCAAAATACAAAAAGTGTGTGTGTATAAATCTCCCTCAAAAAAAAGAAAAAAAAAGAATTTAATATGATAAATCATGTTTGATACTTTACTTATTTACTACATAAACCTAATAAAATTTCAATAACTCAATATTTTTATTATATAATTTAATTTGTTCTGAGATTTATTTTATAATTTTAATGAATTTCATGGGAATTATAGATATATATTTAAAATTCAAAATTGAATAACTAATTCACAGCAATAAATGTGGGTAAACTATATAGTGTTGTCTTCATCTTTCAAGCATTGCAGAAAAATATCTTCAACTTATTCCAATAATTGTCCTGAGCAGTAGGGTTAGGAGCCAAATAAACGAATCCCTTGGGCAGTCGGCCTGCATATTTGGCAGACTCTTAATAATATTATTTTTAAAACTCCAGTTTAAATAAATTCTTTCAATAATATTATATACCAAATATTTAAAGTTCAGGTTATTTCTCTTGATAATATATATATATAAGTGGATTGTAGTTGACTTAAATTGTGAGGTTTATTTAATTTTAATTTCCCTCTTAATTCATGGTTTAAGTATTAGATGGTTGAGCTATGATTAGGTTTATTCTATGAAATGGTATTCAAAAATATTTTTGAGGATAAACATATATATGTTAAAAACACGAATTTTTTAAATGTGATTGACATAAATAAAATTTTAGGGTGTATAATTAATCGAAGAAAATTTGAATTTGTGTGTCCGCTCTCAACATGTGACTCCGCCACCGGTGCTAATGATATAATATAATTTGCGAAACATGACAATTAGGAATGACTTCGGAACAATCGTTCTTTAAAATTTTATATTTTAATATAATTTATTTTATATATTTTTATTAATTATTTACTTTTTAAAAATTTAAAAATTTATTCTTGTGAAATTTTATAATCCCTTAATATAAAATATTATGTATATTCTTGATCACAGCCTAAGAGATAGCAAGGAGAAGCCTATCTTTAGGGCCAATTAGTGATCCTAAATCCTAATTAATGCAAACTAATTAAAAATTAAAATAAATTGAACAAGTTCCCTACTGCAATGATGCGCCAATAAAATCTTTACAGGTTAATTACTTATCTGATGATGCAATTTTTTAATTGTTTGGGTGTCATTATGCCCAAGTAGTGGAGAAGAATGAGCTGTTTCTTTTTATTATATTTGTAAATCACTCCTTATTCTATGATGACTATGTGACATGCCAAGTGTCCTTGAACCCCCACCCATTTTCCCATTAAAAATTATCAACATTTAAACAAATATATATGTATACATGACCATGGGGACATGTGACCTGCCTCATTCCTTTCGGCTAAGGCCATGTAAGTGATGTGTGATTAAGTCTTATAGAATATTTAATTAGTTTATTCAATGTGTGGATTTTTATGATAATTTAATTAAATTATTAATTTAGGCTTTAAAGGTAGTAACAAAGAAATTTAATTAAATATTTATTTATTAGTTGTCTAGTAAATAAAACACTAAATTATTTAAATTAAATAATTTTTTATATTATAAAATTATAAACAGTATAAATTGAATTGAGAGTAACATTTCATAATATTTCTTTTTTACTATAAATTGATTTAGATGAATTAATCAATGAGTATAAATGAAATCTCGATTTTTATAAATTGATAATTGAATTATAATAAATTAAAGTGGTTAAATTTCTTAATTTTAAAAAAGTAAAACGACAAAACTCATAATTAAATCTATATTTATCTTAGTCAAATCAACAAAAGTTTTCTTAATATTTGCATAAGTTGTAATAATTTTGCATACGTGGATAAACTTATGGTGGTTGAATTGTTTGGTTCTATGTGGATTTGGTTTATCTCTTGAATTTTAAACATCCTAATCTAGTTTTAACTTGTGAAATTCATATCTTCATGATTCAAATATTTGTCAAAGAACATCTTGATGTAAATTATGATTCAATGAGAACAAAGGCAAATGGAGATTCATAAGAAAATCATCATAGCCATAAAAGCACCATATGAGTTGACATTCACATTACCCTATCCAATCCCCCAAACAACTTCCCTCCCACGAAAACACCCGGCAACTGAACCCCGCCGGATCTCGACAACTCGTTGACCGCCTCGGCCTCTTCTTTCCCTTCGCCTACCTCGAAAACCACTGGTTTCACACCGTGCCCTAGCAGCAACTTCATCACGACATTTCACATGCAGCAACCACGTCTACCGAAAACCACCACAGCATTCTCCTCAACCAGTTTCCTCATACTATTTCCGGCACCACCATTGGTGACGAGTCCCCCACCACCGAGGAGGAAGTTCTGAAACAGCGAGCGGCTGCCGGAGACGGACATCGAATACGATTTATAGGGGATTGCTTCTTGCATTGAGAAAAGTACTGAAGATTGTTATGGGATCACGGGAAGGGGGATTAGTTAAAAATTGGTGTGATATATACAAGTGGGGGAATGAAGGGGATGAATTCAACGTCAACGCCAACTACGCACCGTGGGACGTCATGGGGACTGTTGGGTGATGCCGCAATACGTCACCGTTTGGAAGACTGATTCTCATCTGCCATTTGTTAGATATTTGTTAGGTACTTGTTAGGTACATACACTGAAGGTGACGTTTTGTAACAACCCGATTTTTAAAATAATATTTAATTAAAATTGGAGGTTTAATTGTGAAAATTGGTAAAAATTAGGATTAAATTGAAAGATTTTAAAATTTAGAGTTTGTTTTAGAGTTAAAGAAAATTCAGGGATCAAACCCTGAATTTACTCTTAAAATATCGGCAGGCATTTGTTATTTATGCGTGATTTCTGTTTTGAAAAACAGAAATCAATTTCACAAATCCTTCCTCACGCACACAACTTCCAAACTCGATTCTGACGCCGTCTGAATTCTGATCGTTGTTTTGAAACCACCGTTGTGTTCATCATCGAGCGAGGAACCCCCTTCAAATTAATTGAAGCGAAACGCGGCCAAACGTCAAGAATTTACAGTCAAAGTATCGTCGTTTTTGTTAGCTCTATCGCCAGAAAAATCTTAAATTCACCGCCGATCGTTACTCCGTTTACGACACCTCCTACACCATCGTGTTCCTTGTGCGGTTTCGAGTCCGCCGGTGTCAACCTTGTTCGCCGTCGACGGCGGCGCGTGAGGAGGTGGAGCAGTCAAAGATTCGACCGAGTTGAAATCGAGCTCTCCGCCGTTCAAAAATTTGAACCGATCGTTGTAAGTATCTCGAAATCGCTCAAAATAATTTTTAGAAATTTTTTCGGGATTTTTAGGGCCCCGGAGGAGGCCTCACGCGCTGTCGCATGGAGAGTGGACGCTGTTGGAAACCGGTTTGACCGGTTTTCAACCGGTTTTGACCGGTTCGAACCGTTTTGACCGGTCTGACCCGACCCGACCCGACCGTTGACCCGACCCGACCGTTTACCGTTGACCGTTGACTTCCTTTGACCAAAACTTAAAATGGCTTTGACCGAGCATTAAACGACCGTTAATCTTTTCCGAGTATACCTATCCTGATAGTTTTCGACGTGCCGAATTCGTTTCCGCTGTCCGTTTCGCCAAATTCGAACCCGAAGGCCTTCAAATCGACGGTCAAAATGGTTGACTTTGACTTTGACCAAGAATTTGAATTTTCGAAAAGTCATATTTTATGTTTTTCGACGTCCTGATTCCGATTCCGCAATCCGTTTGGCCAAATTCAGACTTGCAATACCCCAAATTGATAGTCAAACCCTGAAAATGCTTATATACTTAAGAATTTTTACTTTGAATAATTAAGTAAGATTTGAGGCTGATAAATTATTATTGTTTGAAGGTACAAGAGACTATCCGGATCGTTCGACAGCTCGACCCAGCTTTTCTAGATCAGTTAAACCACGTGTGCCAGTATTCACCCGTAAGACCCGTAAATTTTATGATTTTATAGATTTATTTATGTTACCCATAAGTAATATAGTGTTACTATAAAATAGGTTCGAAAACTATAGCAGAGCGTGGTGAAACCAACAATCAGTAGATCTATTATTGAACCTATTATCGAGGTGTGTTCCCTACTTATTACTGAACTGTTTTATTGGTTTTAATATGTGGTACACCAAATTCATTAGTTATTGTTTTATGGATGCACCAATTTAATGTGACAATTTATGGAATATGGCTGCTATCTAATTTTTGTTTTGAAATGGTATATGATTACCATGTTTTTGGATTTATGGAATTTATGTCACGGTACAATTGAATTTTGGAATTGAATTACGATGGAATAGCTCTGATCAAGCTAAATGGGCCTAATGTGACTCTTGAGGGCCTCAAGATGTTTCATTAGGTCGGCTTTCCTTTGTTGTGTGCTTAAGGTAAGCTATATGGACTTATTGACTTGGGCTTAAGGATACAAGCTTCATAGCCTATCCTTAAGTCGGCTTTCTTTTTGCTATGTGCATAAAGTAAGCTATATGGAAAATAATTGTGGGAACTACTGATGGTGTACCAGAAAAGGGTTTAAACTATGATTTTCAAAAGTTAAACTCTTTTACGAATTTGTGAGATTTACTAGACTATGATTTGTACCTATTGTGATTTTATAGAAATGTTGGGACACACTGAGCCTAGCTCACCTTTCGAAAATGTTTTCCCCCTTTCAGATACTGTTGGTTAGATACCTCGGTTCGAGCACTTGGAGGATCAACATATATCTTGAAGTAAATCAGATTGTAATGTTTTCATTTTACAAGTTGACTTTATTTTGGTGACATTGACCTTATTTTAAAATATCGGATTTTATAATGATGACTCTTTTGCTATTATTGTTCGGTTTATTGTGATTTTGAATTTGAAGACATGTTTTAAATTAATTTATTACTTATTGGTATTATATTTACGAGTTGGATTTTGATAGTATAATTTGTTTATAATTTCATGTTATTTATAATGTGATTTTATATTATGGAATAATGGTTACGGAAAGTCTTTAATAATCATAATGTGATCCACTAGACTTAGTCGAAACGCATAGGCCGGGTCTAGGGAGTTACACGTTTCCTTTATCTTCTTCGCACCGGCTTGTGTCATAATTTTCATTTTAATAATTTAGAGGGATTAAAAAATAATCTATATTTTAAAATATAATATTTAATAATATATATATATATATATATATATAAATATTTAGAAAAAATTAATAAATTAATCGAATTTTAAGAATCCTGGTGTACGAGCAGTTGCAATAACATATGTGTTAAAAATAATATAAAAACATCATTTATATTCATAAATACAGTGCCGAAACCTGAGGTCATTTGGCTGGTGTGAAGTTTTATTAAATTTAATCTATTTTATTAACATATCCTGTTCTCAAATCAAAATTAATATTTAAAGCTGAAATTTAATCTATTTATCAACACTAGACGACTGTACACCCCACTAGACCGATGTTTAATGACGATGAACTGATGACACGTTTCTCAAATCAAAACCCTCAAAGGAACCTCTCGTTTGTAGTTCTATCTCTGATTCCCTGTTTGTTCTATTTTCCCTTTCTTCAGACTCCATCATGTCGACGGCAACGTACTCAGGCTCGGGTGCCTGATCAAAAGTACTTACCGAATAAGAAGGGTGAAGACTGAACGAAGGTGAAGAAGTTCCTATGGAAGGCGAGGTCTCGAGTGAAGGCCCAGCCGCCATGTAATTATTTTTCAGTTCGACGTTTCTTCTGGCGTTGGTTCGCCATCGGTTCAGACCTTCCACCACGGCTTCTGGGAAGACGGTTTTCTTCATAGATGTCCCCATCTGTTAAAAACACAACTTTTAATCTAAATCTTTAAGTTTTTAAAAAATATAAATTAAATCCTTCAACACTTTTAATTTTAATCTAAATCACTAATTGTTTTTTTCTAAAAAAAATTGAGTAGTCCCCTAAATTGTGTTGCTAAGATCCATCACTACCCATCAAATATCTTAACTTTCAGTTCGGATAATAACTATCAGCTTGGATTCAATGCCAAACATATTTAAAATACGTTAATCGAACTTTAAACATATGTCAAACACTGTGAAACTGATGATTAGATTGACTGAAGCACCTAATTAATATTTTAATGATTCAATTAAACGTGATGAAGCTTGAAATGAACTTAAAATCAAAGAAATAGTTTAGAGACGTAGGGTGTGCGAATAATCTTAAATGAAGAAAAAAATTAAGAAAATAATTACCTGAGTGACTAGAGCATAGAGAGGCAGAGTAACATAGCCACAAAGGATTTGGACCAAAACTCCCATTACTACTCTTATCACAATGTCGTCAGTTCTTCGATGGAAACATGATCTAAATCCAAATTCATACTGCAATTTATTTAAAGAAAAATGTTTTAAAAAAATCAATGAAAAAACTGAAAATATGCAGTTTGAGTAAACCAATGCTTACCCAAGTCCATGTGAAGAATGCCAGTTGAAAAGAGTTCTGAAACAATATGAAATGCATGATGTGGAGAAGCAACTCTGGCCAGCCAAACCAGAAGAAACCATCACTCGGCCTAACCAGGAAAGCTCCTCTCACAACTCGGCCTCTGTGTTGACTATCCAAACACATCCTTGTTATGATGCCTTGGAGTTGCGTTCCAACCACCAATAGCATCTGTTAAAACCGAATATGTGTCGGATATATATGTCGAACAGGAATACTTAAAGAAAAACGAACGGATTCTTGGCCTGATCGTTCTTACCAATAGTGGAATGAAAGGAAGCCAGAGATAATTGTAAAATGCTGCATATGACATTTGAAATGAAATGGATTTAGCATTAATAGAACTAATTATAAATGAGTATGTAAGTGTATTGATGATTACCATGTGCATTGAAGAATATGAAGAGCATCGAGAAGATCCAAATCCAGAGGCTGAAAGAAAAAAAGTTAACCACTGGTTAAATCCATAGAATGATTACACTGCAACATGCAAATCAATCCAGAGCACAATCATCTTCATGTTGTGATGTGATTTTGAATATATGAAGATGAACTCGAAATCCGAAAGTGAAAATTTCTGATTTATATTATCACAACACGACCCAACAATTAGGGTTGGATCGTGCAGGGAAAAAGACTAACATGAAGATGTTTCATATCAATTAGACCGACCTTATCGCCACAACCACTCCAAAGTCCTTTTCCAAAGCTCTTTTAATGTACTTTTGGAAGTCAAAGTTGCTTCCCTCTGAAAAATGTGCCTGGATAAGAGGAATAGAGTCAAAATATGCATCAAAATGAAGCAATTAGGTGTTGAATTATTACACAAGGAATGGCCTTTACTGTGATGAATCCATGTCTGAGCGTAAAGTAGTCCACTTTGGAAACCGATGCATAGAACTGTCGGAGAAAGCATGCCTGCAATATCAACATCAATGGTTTAACAGTTTTTCATGGCATGTTAATCGAAGTGATCGAATTTGACCGAAAACGAACCGGCCAACGAAGAAATCTGTGTTGGCTCCAAAACCTCAGGTGTCGCCTTGCGAATGATGTTTGATGGAGAAGTTGGAACCTTCGAGGATCTATTTCAATGGAGGAAATGTGATATGGTTGGTAAAGCAGAAGATTCACAAGAATAACCTGTTTTCAACATCTTTGAACTCGGGAAGCTTACCGTTTGAGAATTGATATTCTAATGTTCTTGTTTCTGCTTCCCAAGATTTCCACCTCCTCATCTGTCAAACAAATGGAGGCGATGATGTCAAACACAATTCATACATGTTCAAACTTGATTTCACCTGGATCTATAAACCTCAATTTGTCGTACAACTGTTAGTGATGCGGATTTTGTTTAACCCAACATTAAAAATATGTGGTACAACTGCTTGATTAGAAGAAAAAAAAATGGGAATATATATGGTGGATGTGAGTATTTGATCAGAACCCGACAAGTTTCGATCCAACCTTATAAGATCAAATTCCTTTTGAAAGTTCAGGCTTGGTTCGTGTTGGATTTTTTGAATGATAAGGTCGAGTTTAAGGTGAAAAATACCAATCCAAACCGGAAATAATAGCATAATTGGCCTTTCGGATCAATGTAGGCGTGAGTTTTATCTTAAAAATCAAGTCGGTTTCAAGTCGGATGAAGTTTCTCTAAATCTGGGTCAGATGACGGATAGAGGAGTGTTATAATCAAATCAAGTTCGGGTGGATTAGAAGCCTGGCCTGACTAATGACTATCCCCGATTCTTGTACTGATAAATTCTGACCCAACCTAACCCTGTAAAGTTAATTTTTTAAAAAACTCAAGTTCGGATTAAATTTTACGAAGGAGAAAGTCAAGATCCATTGAAATTGAATTTAAAGTAACAATCACAGATCCGTTGCTAGGTATAATTGGCTAGTTCTTGAAACTAGTGGGACCAAATAGGTCATTTACCCATGGCTAGATCTAGTTACACTTTCAATGTTGTATTAGAAAAAACAAGTCAAAAATGAACTACTACTAAACCCCATTGCTGGGCCAATAAAAGGGCATGAGAACATCAAAAGAGAATTGAATTCTTTTCCAAAACAGTGAGGTTTGTACAGTAAAATGTTTTCATGGGAAAAAAGAAAAGAAAATTTACCTTTGCCATTCCAAGACTGAATGTAAGGACGCATGACAAAGAATGGAAGAAAGCCAGAACGAATATTAAGTACTGAAGCTCCCCCACACCTTGTCTAGACAATAATGACACCTTTCCCTGCTCCAAAAATGCCACTCAAAGATTAAGTACTTCTTAAATCTCATCACCCGAGTCGGTCGTTTGATCGTGTCGTGAACGCTAACTTGAAATTATCTTCTTTGAGTTTGTATAGATATTTTCGTAGTTCGACTTACAACATAACGCACAAATGAATGCACAGCAATACATGTTTTCATTTGTGTGTTGTGTTTTGGATTCGAAGCTGTATGATTCGAGTACGACATTACACAACCGTAGGTCGGTCGGTGACATAAACGTACCTGCTCTTGGCATTTTGCTTCTTCCTCACCATCATTTGAAGGATCAGTGCAGGGTAGAAAAGTTTCACCCACGTTCTTTGGAATGCATATATTTGCTATTGATTTTTCACTCACGGTTAAAAGCAATGATATGAACCCCAGCAGCATTAATTCTAGAGTGAAAACGTCAAAGTTAATTCTAGAAGATAATTAAGATTGTACAGTAAAATGTTGAATTTAGTTCGGATAATTTCTCACCGGATTTGATCTTATCAAGAGCCTGAATCAGAGATTTCCTTCGTTTCTTATTGAAATACTGAAAGAAAAAAAAATCACCCCAAAGACAACATGAAAATCAGGGTTGGAAAAGAGAGTGATTTATATAGAGAAACCCATCAACTTCATGCATGGAAACATACCTTGGCCAAGAGATGAAGCAAATGCTCAATAAAAATGGAGACCAAAATCAAGAGGAAAACAACAGTGGAAACAGCCCATGTTGGGGTCGTTGCGATTGTCGCTGCGGTGGTCGTCTCTTCCTCTCCTGCCATATCTTGCTTGTTTTTGTTCTTCTGGTGCTCTTTTGAAACACCTGGACTGTGTTGTTTCTGGAAATAAAAACGAGGGGCATAGGACCAGACACGGAGCTGATAATATGTAAACAAACAACAACGCTGGCTGCTGGGTTAGTCAATATACGGGTGTCGGTCTGGCCCAGTGGTTTAAATTCCTGTGACAGTGATTCTCTTACGGAATCCATTACGTTTCCGTGCACAAAAAGACACTAAAAAATTCGAGTATGAACTTTCTGAGATATTTCCATGAAATGGTGATCTAAATTTCACTTAATCTGATTCGAATAATCTACGATCTGATTTGTTTGATGCTCTAATGGTTAGTAACACGCTTATGACTTTCAAGTACATTGATTTTTATTGCGGGATGACTTTATGAATCTGTCTGTACCATGCAACTTGTAAGAAGCAACAGCGTCTAAAGCAGGGCAGACGTGAACTGCTGCAGATGTTTTTCGAAACACCAAAGAACCATGATTTGTTGATGTCTCCTAGGTCGAAATTCTGGCTGAGCCTAGAGTCGAGCCAAATCAAAATCCGGAGCGGATTGGATTTAAAATCAAACCAAAACGGAAAGACGGAATAAAATGCAGAAAGCATGAATGGTGAATACTGTCATAATGGTTGATACAAGATTTTATCATAGGCATAATAAGGCAGTTGAATTGCAACATAGAGTCATTCCATAAAATTATTACAAGTTTTCAGTTCTTGGTCTCGACACTAGTAGATTCTTGAAATTTAAAATTAAAAAAAAACATAAAGCCTTCAGCAACCATAGGCATCTTTATGCTTGATATCAGCTGCATCCGCGGCTGCTTCATCGACATATATTATAGTTTTCGAGACAATGCTGCAGATAAGTATCGAAATCAACTCAAGAAACCAAAACTCAACATTTCAATAACAATCATTCTAGATGCATCGAAAAAGCCACTATTTTGCTACAACCCTACAATGCAATATCAAAAGCGTTTTCTGACAGCATAGAGGTTGCTTACTTTAGTACAATTGATTTCGACTGTGCTTTTCGCCAATGGAGGCTTCAGGTGGAACTTTTCTCCATGTTCCATGACCCAATGATAATGTTGCTTGCTCCATGTTATCTTCCTTAGTAGCATCAAGGCTTCCCTCAGTCAAGGAGAAACCGAAAATTCTGCACGAGGAAGCTAATTCTTGTTTAGTCCTGAATGTAGGTTGAGCCGCCAGAGGCTGTGAATCACCAATAGAATCATTTGAATGACAAAATGAATCCATGGTAATGCGATCCCTCCCACGGGACTCATGTCCGCCAGTACCAGACAGAAGTAACTTTGCCCCGTATTTTTCAGGGGTGCGAAAAGAACTCATTCCGTGATCCTTTTCCAGGCCATTGAAGCTATGCATGGGATTGAAATTCGGACTTGGATTGCTTGCTTGTTGGAACATTAACACCGAAGAAGGTGAGGAAACTTGTGTAAAAGCAGCAGATGGTTGTATAGAACTGTGAGTATCATAACCCAGAATCGAGGAAAACCATCCACTTCTAGTCCCTGACAGTTGCTCAACATCGGGGACATCAGGACTGTCATTTCCTCGACTCTCCTCGACAATCGAGGGTTTCCTATACGGAGGAGAGCTAATAAAATTTCTTGACCTTGCAAGACCTTATGGAATTGGAAAGATTCCCCAAAGCCTACAGTTTTATAGGAAATATTGGGATTCACCAGAGGGTCTCTACCAACACTTCCTATAGCAGCAATACCAGAACCACTAGAACTATGAAAGCTGCATCGTACTTCAGACTGATGCATGTTGTGACTAGCAGCACCGTCGTAAAAAGGGTTGAAACCCCAAATTTCTTGACCTTGCAAGACCCTCTGGAACCGCAAAGGTTCCGTAAAGTCGGATGCTCCAATTCCATCTGTTAGGAAAAGAAAGGACCAAGTCAAATAATGCTGCAAGACACATGAACGAGATTTAGCTATGCAAAAGAACCTACCAGGAACCATAAATTCTGGTTCTGCTGATGTCAACCCAACCCTGTTCCTTTTCGAACTGGATGAGAGCAAGCTGTTAGAACTAGGAATAGAACCAGATGGTTCAATTTCCCAGGGAGAAACCCGGCCGTGCTTGTTGGCATCAACATCATCCCACCTTACCTATGAAAATGAGTCGGAAAGAACTCTTAGATAAGCTCTACTAATGGTCCGATAAATCAGAAACAATGACGATTTATCAAAGACATTGTATCATAGACTAGTCGGCAAAAAAAAACATCCAAAACAATGTGCGATGGTCTGCAACTATACCAACAAGCATCTCCATTTTGAGCCAGGCCATCTGACAGGATCCAAATCGCTAATTCCGGTTATGAGCCCCGTGTATCTACAAAAAAATTGGGAAAGATTCAATTAAGGCCCCAATAGAACTGTGGCGTCAATCTTCCCTCTTGAAGCTAAAAACAATATTATTTCAAGTTAAAGAGTTGCAGGTTCAATCAGGACACACCTTCGTTCCGCTGCATCTTCGGTTTCAAACCACATTTTGAACCTCATTCCTGCAGAAAATGAATGATCAAGACTCTTCCAGAATTTACTGACTGGTACAATGAACTCCGATGAACTAGCCCTGCTACACATCAACAAAAATAGTTTAGTTTCACATGAAAATAATAATGAGAACAAGTAGATAACAAACAAAAGGCATGAATGGATCCCAAGCAATTAAGCACCAATGACATATAAGACAAATGGTAAGTTACTCCATTTCCAGGTGAAAATGGAAACAGTATCACCCCTTGTTTGGAAGCCATGAAGATAGTCAAAGGGACAAGCTTACGAAGATTTTCCAACAATACCGAAACTAAAGATAACTTCTTTATATTAAATAGACGAAGTCAATAAGGTACAGTACTCGGGCTTATGTGAAAACATATTATAGCAAACAACTGAGAAATATCAGCCTTATGTTAACCACTTCAAACCAAGCTGTCATGTGCATATAAAAATGGTGTCGAATTGTGTCCATCGTTGCAATAAAAATCTAGAAATTGACTATGAAACTTTCGAATTGTTTCCTCGAATATGGCTCGTCACATATCTAAATGGTGTTGATAGTAACGCACCTTGGATTGTAGTAAATGCTGAAAACACTTCTCATAGATACAGCATGGACCACATCTGCAAAAGTGCTGTGGTTCAACTGCTTGCTACACAAAGATGGAAAAGAAGTGCCATTTTTAATTTGTGCAGCTCTTCGGATTCCCAGCCTCAGTTCCCCATCCTCACCCCTGCCAGCCACACTAAATAAGATTCTGATAGGATATTAATTAAGCCTTTATGAAAGGGAAAATTTTGAACCTAAGAAAAAGCACAGCATCTCCGGCCACGAGCTTCTTCTTGTTTACAAAAGCACTCCATCCAGTAGTGAGCAAATGCCTCCGTGGTTGCCCTGCACGATCCAAAAATACCTTACCAACAACTAGAGAAATGAACAGATAATCACGGCTTTGATCCAGAAGCACCATTCATTAAATTTAATGCATACCCCTGAAAATGTGTCGAAATCTCCAACCGATGCCATGCAGATCTTTTGCAACAAGCTCCTGTGATGGCCTCTGCTGATTATAGTCCTATAAATCCAATCAACTTAAACTCAAAAGGATGTAACAGACGAGTGCTTCACCAAAAAAACATAATGAATTATTGTGCATATAGAAACGAAGAAAGTGCAAGACACTTACTAAGGGAGGGAAGCAATCCTCGGCAGCTCGACGAGGGACGGAGAAGCCTCCATGAGTACTGGTATCAGAAGCAGTAAGGGTCTTGCAGAACATGTGCGGCATGGTCGATTTGATTTCTGCTTCTATATCCTCCTCATCACTGTCTGCCTCCGCTTTCCCTTCTTGCAGCTTCTGCTCACTTTGCTGCATTGCATAATTTACACAAAATCAGACCCAAAAATTTCAAAATCACCTCGAAACCAAATGAGAAGTACATTAAACAACAACACGATAAAACAAATTAAAAAATAAGTTAAATTCATCATTAGACCATGCTTTATAATTCAAAATTAATGATGTCATTATCCTATATCCCCATCAGTTTAAAGAAAATGAGCACCTAAGGTGAAGCAACTTTATTATATATATAACTTAATTAATCATTAGGCAAACAATACGAGAAAAAATAGAATACAGCTCACCTCAATTTCAGGAACCAGTGAAACTTGAGCATAAACCTCATCTGTGGCAGCCTCAGCCTGTCAACAAAAACAAACATTTTCATAGCAAATCCACTTTAAGAGAAACCCAGTACAAATAATAATAATTAAAACCCACAAACAATAATTGAATTATTTAAAAGATGCAGAGCTCTCCCCTTAAAAGGATAACATTTTTCTCTTTTAACCCAAAACTTGAACAAAAACATTCATTAAACACGAGACAACATAAAGTTCACACAAGATAAGAGAGAGTATTCAGAATATGTATAGGTAGCTTACATGGAGCTTGACATCAACAACCCGACAAAACACATGGGAAGGGAGACCATAAGCTGAAGCAAAGCCTGAAAATTCGGGAAATTGTTCCAAGTGGCCTTGCGGGAAGTACACCACTGCACTTCCTCTCTTTGGCAAAGATACAAGTGGACCAGCACAAGCATGCCAAAGCTCTAAACAAACTGAAGAACTAAAACCAGAAGCACTTAGCACCGAAGATGGGGATAAAGAATCAGACGACGGCGTTTCATCCTCTTCGGTCGTGTTCAGATCGATTAAACACCCCATTGAGCAGTCAAAGAAAAGAAAAGCTTTGGTCTTTGCGCTGCAAGTGAGTTATACAGGAGAGGGTATTTCGTGACTGCATATTTAGAAACTTTAGTCAAGACCCTCAAAAAGAAACCAAAAGAGACACCTTTTGTACAAGGGATTGATGGGGTTTTAGTCTTTTTTTTTTCTAGATATACAATCAAAGCTTTTATGAGATTAAAATTTTAAGAACAACATTAGATTATTGTAGGTACTTATGATTAGATACGTACATGTAAGAGTACTATATATACAAGGAGTATTGTTTTGGATTATGGAAAGTAGTTGCTTTTTTATATGAATGAAAGCTGTACAGCAGCAACTGCTGGCTGCTGCAACAACGCTGACAGACTGCTGCAAGTGATGTGCGGCAGAAATAGAGAGATGGTGAAAGAGTAACCAGATTTTTCTTTATTAGTTACATTCTAATTACAATATGCTAAAATAAATTTGTAAAATACCAACTGAAATACATATATACATACATACATATTTTGGCTGATATCTAATCTGGACCCTCCAGCTTACCAAAATCCCACTCATGTCCTTCCCTACTAATAATTCTCTGCTTTTTCAGTATTCCTTTACACCGATTAGACATTATTTCTTGAATGTAAGCTATAAGCTTTCTTTCCTTCTTGTGCTATTTTCTTGCCTTTTCTGTTTTGATATAACCTTTTTCCCCATAAAGAGATGGTGATGGGGAATTACTCTAAATCAACCAAACCTGGAAGAAGATCAGAGTTGGCAAGCAATTTCTACTAAAGGGATAACTTCTTTTAACACTTCAAATCTAGCATGTATTGTGTCTCAAAAATACCCTTTGTGCAAACAAAACCCCACACCATGTTTGTGGAATTTTCATATCTAGAAACCATCGTCCCCAACTTGCCAAGTTGTTAGCTATGATATATATTTATAAAGCTAGGTTAAATTTTATCTTTAGTCCTTGTATTCAACACGAGTTGTAGATTTAGTCGTGTTTTATGATTTGATCGGTTTTTAGTCTATGTATTTCTTGAATTTTGAAATGTTAATCTTGAATCAAATAAGATAATAGCAATAATATTAAATTATGATAAAATAATCAACTCGAAGAATGAGAATTAAATTAAAAAAAATTAATTTAACAGATTTAATTATTATTATTTAAATAATTCCAAAATTTAAGTATAAAGTCTAAAAATGACCAAATTATGATACACAACACAAACCAAATCCAAAAGCTTATGCATAGTAGAAGAATTTGATACACAGAGTATAGTGTTTGATTTTATGGATTAATTACGTCATATATCCTCAAACAATTACTCATATTTTAAGTTATTCTCCAAACTTTAAAATATTATAATTGAGAATTTAAAATATCAATATAATAATTATCAATTTAGACAATAGCTTAACTATTAAATGGCCACTTAAATATGATTTGGAACATATTTAAAATATTTGAATCAAAAGATAGACTACGTGTATCTATTACATGAACAACTTTGTTTTAGCATGTAAAAAGTAAAACAGTCTCCTAATTTTTTTACACAATATATTCCATTTTAACATGTTATAGGTATACGTATGTTTAAAGTTTGATTCACATATTTTTCATATCATCAATATGTTCCATAACACACTCGAGCTACACTTAACTCCTAAATTAGTAATTTAAAATAATGAAAGGACCTAATTGATATAATGTCGATGCTTTGTAAATTCAATTGTAATATTTTACAAGTTTAGAGTTGTTTAGCATGATTTATCCCATTCTTTCTTCCATAATACATGCTCTGGGCAAAATTTTGACTTTGATGTAAAGTTTTGTAGGGCATTATGGTGTATTGCTACCTTGGGTGAAAAGCATTTAGAAATGCAGGACCCATTGTGCCTAATCAAACAGGGAATATGATAATCATGTTTGGAATTGATTACCCTTCTCTAATCTGTAAATATTTATTTAATTTGGACTTTAATATTTAAGGCTTTTGTTCAATAAAAATGGTTAGATTTTATGATATATCATTTTTATTGTTTTATATATTTTTCGGTTTTATAGCTTGAAAAACAAATATACAATATATAATATGAATATTTATTAGACTTTAACTCCTATATTTAAAGTTCGAAACTCGGACAATAATATTGTTCGGTTTTATGATATACTGTCATATTTTATACACCATTTTATTTATATTATTTGAAAACAAATATACAGTAACGTAATGTAAATGTTATGTTAATATGTTATGCATGTTTAAAATTTTAATAAAAGTTAATTAAATTTTAATTTGATTGAAATAACTAATATTATAATATTATGATATTTAAAATAATATGCATTAAAGTGTACCGAAACACATTTTATTATTTTATTTAGGATTTAGATAATTCAACTGTTCTGAAAACATTGTTATTATAATTAGAATTCATGTGATAATCGTGTACTAAGAGTATTATCGAATATATGACTAATTTAATCATATATTTGATTTTTATGATATTAAAATGTATAATTCGTGGGTAGTTATATTATACATCAATTTAATTTAAGGTTAATTTAAGATAATTTTTAACCTAAAATATTATATGTTAAGCTTGAAAAGTTATACAAGTTTGCAACATTGTTACTGTAATACAAAAGTTACATTACGATTGGTTTAGGGTTTATAACCGAAAATATTATGATTAAGATAATATATTTTAGGGTAAAGTATATAAATAGTATTCAAAAATTTAGGGTGCTTGCATTTTGGTCACCTAACTTTTGAAACTTACAATACAATCATCTAACTTTTAGGAGTGCTTGCATTTTGGTCACCCAACTTTTAATCGTATGCAGTAAGGTCCTTGTCGTAACCATTTGTTGACGTGGCACTTAAATGTCGTTAACCCCTCCCCTCATTCTTCTTCTCCCTTTCACCCTACCTTCGGAAACTCCACCTCCGATCAACGGTGGGTCACACCACTATCACCTCCCGACCACACCCCGACTCTCGATTCATACTCACCATCCACCGTTTGTTCCAAATCACGAGAAAATCATTCGAACACTATCTTCGATCTCTGTCGTCAGTGATCGTCACCGTCGGTACCAATAGGAGTGTCGCCCCATTCCAACCAAAACCTCGCTAGCCACTCACCGACACTCACCTCCGTTCGCCGTGGATAGGGCTTCGAATCTCGTCAAAAAACCCCAAATCCCTTTTTATATTTTGATCAATTTTCGACCAATAAGGTTGTCCATTCGCCACACTGCCACCATCATTGAAGTCCTAACATCGTTCCGAACAAAACCCAATTGGTCGTGGCTCCTCCTCGTCATCCATTCTTCATAGAAGCGAAGAATAAGAAAGCAGATGATGATGAGGAGAAGAATAAGGAGAAGATGGTTAACGACAATTAAGTGTCACGTCAACAAAACCTAACAGAAGAGTGTAACATAGACCTTACTGAAAATGATTAAAAGTTCGATGGTTGTATTACAAGTTTCAAAAGTTTGATGATCAAAATGCAAACTGCCTAAAAGTTCAGGGATTATTTATATATTTTACCCTATATTTTATTGCAACTACAAATATTATTCTGCCCAACCTAAAAATTATACTATTAATAAAATTTTCAGTTACAATTGATTTCTATTTTTTAACCTTATATTAACAAATTATATTTTAAAATTTCTCTTAATTTACTCATTAACATGAATAATTTTTTTGTTGCTTCTGGACTCTAGGTTTTCACTGTGACTAATACGTATCAACTCGCAAATTTAATTTTAATAGATAAATCTTTTAACACGAAATTTTCTCTACGCACAAGGCCTCGAATATATATATACATTTGAGAAACTCATTAACACGAGTATGAAAATTTTGAAGATGAGAAACCAGTGAAGGCGAATGCACGCGCGTTAAAGAAGCGTGGGAAGACAATTTCACATGTTTCGATATTTCCCTCTTTTTCTTTTATCACTTTAATCTCCAGCGTCAGTCGACTATCCAACCCACCGCACTGAGATTGTCTGATTATCACACCAGGTGTTGATTAGGGTTCCATTCATACTTTTTGATACGAAAATGTGAAGATGTTGGTAAAAGTATCATTTTCTAATTTTAAATACATATAGCATAAACAAATAAATATCAAATTAAGTGATAAATTAAACTATATTTTTATAAAACTAGTTTAAATTAAATTTTAAAAATAATATTAATAAAAAGTAGTTACAAATATATGAAAGGGCAACAAAATAAAATCTGAAAGAAAGAAACGATGGCAACTGATCTCACTCTCACGTGCACCATAATATTTAAGCAAAGAAGAATAAAAGGAAAGATGGATATGATAATGTTTTGTTGATCCTCATTATGTCTTACCATGATGTCGTTTGACTTATGTTTTAAGATAATAGTTGGTTAAGGTTGTGCAAAACACTCTTATCTGCCCTGGTTTTAGGTAAGTACTAAATGTAATATAATTTAATATAAAAATATTAATATAAGAATTTATCAGATGATCGTAATGGTAGAAAAAAAACGTCATCTTTTTAAGGTCCAAGTTTATATAATTCTTTGTATGATGAGTTCGGGAGTTGCGCGTGAGATTTATGAGCGTGGTCAAAATGAAAAGAGGGGGAGGCAACGACTAAAGTTAAAATCTTTTTATTTCTGCAGAAGGCAGAGAGACTCCTCGGGGATTGTCTCAGGAAAGGCGGGTTAATATACGGTTAATATACAGCATTACCGGATACATTAAAATGTATTTAATAAATTCGGTTTAGCGGTACCTATTATGTTGACAACTAATAATGTTTTAGGTAGAAAAAATGAAAAACTATTAAAAAATTTGGTAACCGGTAAACTTTGGTTATCGGTAAGTATCTATCCTTTTTATAAAAGTGTCCATACGTTTAACATATCAAGTAAATTTTACCGGTTTTGTCATAATGAATCTGGTTTTGTCATATTTTTACCTGTTATATTGTAAATTATCTATCCTTTTTATAAAAGTGTCCATACTTATTTCACTGTGAAAATATATTTATTATTATCTTTAGTTAATATTGTTAAATTTAAAATCTAAATAATATTTTATAAAATATCAAAACAATCAAATAATTTTTTGTGTAAATGAAATTATTAAATTAATATTGTAGGTGGAAAACATGAAACACTATTAAAAAAATTGAAACATAAATTACATAACTTTCAAAAAAGTATATATCATTTTTATAAAAGTGTCCATACTTATTTCACTGTTGAAAACA